CTCATTCTTTATTTCCAGGCCATACCCCAAGTAAGGAGCCTGGTGACACAGTGGTTAAAGTGCTTGGCTGCTGACTGAAAGGTCAGTGGTTCGAATGCACCAGCCCCTCTCAGGGAGCCACTGTAAAGATTTACAGCCTTGGAAACCCCATGGAGCAGTTCTACTTTGGTCTATAGGGTCAGAATTGACTGGATGGTAGTGGTTAACAATACCTTTGGATGTAATCCTGTTTGGGAATGGGGTTTTCTTATGTTAATTAAGACATATCAGTGTAGGTGTGTCCTAAATCTAATCACTTCTGAGTTATATAAGGAGCAGCCTAGACCCAGAGACCTGCACAAACTAGGGGAAGATGGGTGCCATATGAAGACCATCAAGGAACCAAGGAACACCAAGGCTGAAAGAGACAGGGATCTTCCCCCAGAGAAGATCTTCCAACAGAGAGAGAGAGCACTCCTTTCAAGCCGATGCTCCGAATTTGGATTGCTATCCCCCTAAACTCTGAGAAAATAAAATTCTGTTCTTTAAAGCCACCCACTTGTGATATTTCTATTATGGCAGCACTAGGAAACTAAGACATTGGGTGTGGTCAATTTGTGAAATTACATCAAACTGTACACTTACAATTTTTTGCACCTTTCTGTTATATTTGTTATACTGCTTTAAGGATTTTTTTTTTTTTTAAAAATACAGAATACCTGGTTCTCTGGCATTTGGGCCAAGGTTATTCAACAGAACATCAAAGGGAAGTTCCTGAGAGAAGCAGGGTTGACTTTTCTAGACATTGCATATAAATGGAACCTACCGTCTATGTATGAGGATGACTTGAAGCACTTACTGATGAAGACTAAAGATTATAGTTTGCAGGATGGATTACAGCTCAGTATAAAGAAAACAAAAGTCCTCACAACTGGTCCAATAAACAGCTTCATGGTGGATGGAGAAAAGATTGAAGTTGTCAAGGATTTCATATTACTTAGTTCTACAATCAACACCAACGGAAGCAGCAGTCAAGAAATCAGACGATGTGTTGCATTGGACAAATCTGCTTCAAAAGACCTCTTTCAAATGAAGAGCAAAGATGTCTCCTTGAAGACTAAGGTGCAACTAACCCAAGCCATGCTATTTTCAATTGTTTCTTATGCATGTAAGAGCTGGACAATGAATAAGTAAGACCTAAGAAGAGTTGATGCTTTTGAGTTGTAGTGTTGGAGAAGAATGCTAAGAGTACCATGATCTGCTAAAAAGACTAAATCTGCCCTGGAAGAAGTGCAGCTGGAATGCTCCTTGGAAGCGAGAATGGCCAGACTTCGTGTCACCTACTTTGGTCATGTTGTCAGAAAGGACCATTCCCTGGCGAAGGATATCATGCTATGCTTGGTAAAGTGGAGGGTAAATGAAGAAGGGGAAGGCCCTCAAGGAAATAGATACACACAGTGGCTGCAACGGTGGACTCAAGTATAGCAAGGATCGTGAGGCTGGCACAAGACCGGGCAGTGTTTCGTTCTGCTGTGCACAGGATCGCTATGAGTTGGAGATGACTCAAGGGCACCTAACACCACCACCACCATCTATGTGGTCTTTTTTCAATTAGTATAATGGTTTTGAGGCTTATCCTTGTTGTAGCATTGTGTCAGTAGTTTACATCTTTTCATTGCTAAATAATATTCTATTGTATAGATTTATCAGATTTTTTAATCCATTCATCAGTTGATGGGCGCTTGGATTATTTCCAGTTTGGGGCTATTACTAATAATGTTTATGACATTTGTGTATTAATCTCTGAGCAAACACACGTTTTTATTTTTTCATTTCTCTTGAGTGAGAACCTGTTGTTCGGTGCCATTGAGTCAGCTCCAAACTCACAGCAACCCCATGCACAGCAGAGTGAAGCACCATCTGGTCCTGCACCACTCTCACAATCCTTGCTATTCTTGAGTCCATCATTGCACCCACTGTGTCAATCCATCTTGTTGACGGTCTCCTGCTTTTTGCTGACCCTCTACTTTACCAAGTATGACATCCATCTCCAGGGAATGATCCCTTCTGACAACATAACCAAAGTAGGTGAGACGGAGTCTGGCCATTCTTGCTTCTAAGAAGCATTCTGGCTATACTTGTTCCAGGACAGATTTTTTCATTCTTCTGGAAGTCCATAGTATTTTCAGTATTCTTCACCAACACCACAATTCAAAAACATTGGCATGCATATGAGGCGATTGAAAATACCATGGCTTGGGTTAGGCCCACTTGAGTCTTCAAAGTGACATCTTTACTTCTTAACACTGTAAAGAGGTCCTTTGATGCAGATTTGTCCAGTGCAATATGATGTCTGATTTCTTGACTGCTGCTTCCATGGGCATTGAAAGTGGATCCAAGTAAAATGAAATCCTTAACGTCAATCTTTTCTCCATTTATTATGATGTTGCTTATTGGTCCAGTTGTAAGGGATTTTGTTTTCTTTATGTTGGGGTGTAATCCATACTGAAGGCTGCAGTCCTCGATCATCAGCAAATGCTTCAAGTCATCTTCACTTTCAGCAAGCCAGGATTTGTCATCTGCATATCACAGGTTGTTAATGAGGTTGTTAATGAGTCTTCTTCCAATCCTGATGCCTAGCTACCTAAGTAGTGGAATTGCTGGGTGAGATGATAAGTTTAACTTTTTATATATTTATTTTTTTATTTTTTTTTATTTTTTATTAAGATTTGGGTGAAGATTTACAGAGTAAATTCACTTTTCATACAGCAGTTCACATATACTTTGTCTCACGTCATTGACCAAAATTGACAATGCAGCAGCTCCCCTCCCACTTCCTCCCCATAGTTACCTCCTCCCAGTGTCCATCCCTTCATACTCTTCGAGAGGCCCATTGTCTGCCAACCCTGTATATGATCTTGGATACACTCTCCATTTAGACATACATAATTGTTTAGCTTGTTCACCCATCTATCCGTCCCTATACCCATGTTTGCTTTCATTGACAACTCAGTATTGTATTTACAAAGGGGTTCATATTTGTTGTTTGTACTGCCCATGTAACTCTCTCTGTCTTTCTCATCCTCAATGCTGCCATATTGGTCACTCACATTTGGTACATTGCCCTTCTCTTCACCCAAATCAATATTTATCTCTATCTATCTAACAGCATTCCCTCCCCTTCCCTCCCACCCCTGGTAACCAACAAAGAAAATGTCCTCCAATATATACACCTTTCCTTAACTTTCACAATAACGGACTAATACAATATTTGTCCTTTTGTGAGATAAGTTTAACTTTTTATGAAACTGCAAACTGTTTTCCAAAGTGGCTGCACCATTTTACATTCCCAACAACAATACAAGAAGGTTTCATATTGTCTATGTCCTCACCAACTAGAAGCTCTTATACCAGGAGTTGCTGTGAGAATGTGGGTTTACTACTGACAACAGCCATTCATTTGCTAAATCACTCAATCAACAAATATTATCTGAACACCTACCACTACCTGCTAGGCTCTATTCCTGCAATCAACTTAGAGGGAGACAGAGCCAAAAAGATGAAGAGAGACAGTGCCTTTGCAACACTTAGCAAATCCTGCCCTACCCTTCCCTAACAGCAAATCTAAGATGAGAGATACCATAACACATAAACACTGTTCTGAGGAAAGAGACAGCATCCCGGTAACACTGCAAATTGGAAAGAGACGGGTTCCCTGGCAACATTGCAAGATGTGGAAAGATGACACAGGTAGCAGTCTAAGACAGAGGAAGTTGGTGCTGTCCTAACACTGCAAACTGGAGAGAGACTGAGCTCTCCAACACTGTAAGATGGAAAGATATTGCACCGTGGTAACACTGTTTCAGCACCCTATCCTGGCTACTCCCTGAACTTTTCAGTTGGAGGAGGTGGTGACTTCCCTAATGGTAGTTGGGTTGGCTTCAGCTGGCAGGGCTATGGACCCCTCCAACCCACTGGGACACAAACAAGTCCAAATGCTATTCCTCTCTCATTCCACGAAGGAACACCAACTAGTCTTAGAACCTCAGGTGCAACAGAGGTGCCAGGAGATGGTAGCGTCCAAGATTTTGGCATACCATCGGAAGCCAGAGAAGGGCCTGGTGGATGCAAAGAGGGGACTGTGTAGGGTAGGGGGAAAAAATGGGCTCAGGTCAGGCTGATCTTGGAAAAGATCTGTTCCTAATCATAGGTGAGATGTCCTAAAGACTGGGGTCCTGAATGTATGGGTGAGAGGCAAGAAGAGAAAACCTAGCTAAACCCAGGAGATGGTATAGAGAAAGAGATGGAGAGACAGGAGGAAGAAGACGGAGGAGAGAGGAAAAAATGCATCAATACCTTAACCTTGATACCTCTAGGCACTGGGATTGTGGGAGACTTCATTTTATTGTTTGAACTATTTTCTACAAAGATCCTGTATTAAATATTTTTAATGTATTAAAATTTAAATTAAGAAAAATGACTCCACACTTTAAAAAACTGTTTTAAAATGAGAAGGAAAGCTTTGGGGACGCTCCGTATGCAACTGGGATTCTGGTCATCTGTATTCCAGTCTCTCACGGAGTCGCCTCTTTGTTTCCACTGTCTGGGCGCCAACCCCCTCCCCGCCTCGCCCTCACCCTGTTGGGCCTCTGGGCTTGGGGCTACCGGATGTAGCCCCTTTCTCTGCGTGCCTTTCCCTCTCCCCCACCCCCAGTTGCCATGGAAACAAATCAGGCTGCGCAGTAGCTTTCCAGCCGCCAACCTCTGGGCTAGAACAGGGCAGGCGAACCTCTCAGCAACAGGCTGGGGGCGGAAGGAGGAGCTGGGGAAAGCGGCGCCTCCACTGAGAGGCCCAGTGGACCCTGCGGAGGCCCCCGGCCCGGCCGGCTCCGCCCCCGCTCCCCCCTCCCCCCCGCGGGTAGAAATACAGCTGCCGCTCTAACTGCCGCCCACTGCGCTCCGACCCCGCAAGGACGCTACTATCCTAGCCCACCAGACCGACCTTCCCGCCATCTCCGCAAATGGCTGACGGACCCTTTCAGCGCAAACCCTGGGGTCCCGAGCAGGTCCACCCAGACGACGACCCTGACTCCGAAGGCCTGTTTGACAAGCCGCCCCCAGAGGAGCTGCCAGCAGCCGGCGCGCCCAAGCCCGCGTCGACCACGGGCAAGAAGGCTGGTCGGCGTGCGGGCGGGAAGACGCAAGGGTCCCGGGCTGGGCAGTCGCCGAAAACTGCCGGCGTCCTGCCGCCCAAGGAGGAGGCGCCTCCCCAGGACGAGGGCTGCTATCTCGACCACTTCCCGCACCTCTCCATCTTCATCTACGCGGCCATCGCCTTTTCCATCACCTCCTGCATCTTTACATATATCCATTTACAGCTTGCCTAAGGGGCCCCGGCGGGATGGGCAGGGCACAGGGCCGAGGGTAGAGGGGAGTGGGAAAAAGGGCTCGGCATTTCGTGTTTGGGGGACCAGCTGCACACACACACCCTTCATCTCGCTTTCGATGTGTGCGTCTTTTCCTCTCTGCTGTCACCATCTTTGTCTATCAGTAAAAAGTGCACAGCTGCTGCCGGTCAAGGAGTAGGAGTGCTGTTAGCACCTGGATATTCCTAGAGATACAGTCATTTCCAGTGCTTAGAATCTTGGGGTGCAGTTGAACCCTGTTTGTGATTAGGATTATGTCCTTGGTCCTACCACTTTATAAATTGGGACACGCACAGGTAGCCTGTCATTTTGTGTTTGGGGTACGCACCGTGAACCCAACCTTTTGTTCCTTAAGAGATGAGCCGGACCCAGGCCTACGGCCTTCTACCGAGGGCCCAGTGGGGAGGGTCGTCGCCCTGGCCTGGGCTGGGCCGGAGCCCTGTGATGCTGCATCGCCCCTAGGGGGAGTCAGCTTTGCGCCGGAGCTGGCACCGCCGGAACTCCGAGCGCCGAGAGCTGGCGGACCTGAGCGCGCAGCGGACGCCGCAGGAGCGCAGCAAGCGGTGAGTGGCGTTTGCGGGAGCCGCGCTCAGCGCACCCAGGGGCTCTGGCTAACCCGTATCTTACGTTTTTCTTGCCTTAGGCTTTACCGCCTCCACCAAGTCGAAGTGAGACCTGCAGCCAGGATGCCACACTCTGGACGTGTTCTGGACGACGTGGGATCCGCGGCTACAGAGCTCCCGGGACACATGCCCGGAATGTGAGCGCTATGCGGAATTAAGACACTGGGGGCACCGATTGTGCTCAGCGAGTGGGCTGCCCTTGAGGACTGTTGCAGGGGTTTCACCATGGCCTGGAGAAGCGAGTTGGGTGTCTAACATCGAAAAGACCCCAAAATCCGAATATCAGAACCCACCTTGGTAGGTTATTCACCCACCTGCCATCTCTGTTTATTCTCGAATGTTAAATGTAAATACACAGTGAGCTATAACTGCATATACTTTATTCAAATGTCTGTAATTGTGATACTGCTGATGTAATAAATCATTCTTTCAGTCTCTATTTTCAACTCACCCTTAATTTCCAACCCTGTATCAGGCCCTGCCAAAGTTCCTAATCTGCCCCAAACTTCACTCTCTTATCTTTACAACATTCCTACTGCTCCTCCAAAACAGACTTCACTCCATTATCCAGCATTCCAAGATACAGCATCTCCACAAAATGGCTGTGCAGAGCCCTCAATGTTACCTTTCTCCGTATTGGGTCCCCTCACCATATCTGTATCCTGCCCTGCCCTTCCCTAACAGCAAATCTACCACCATCCCATTGTCTCTCAGTATGTGGTCCTCACTAGCCTCCATCAGGAGCTCTGGTAGCATAGTGCCTAAGGCATTTTGACTGCTAACCAGAAGACTGGCGGTTCAAACCTACCAGCCACTACTCACAAGGAAGGGTGGGCAATCTACTTCCACAGTGATACCTTGGAAACCCAAGGAAGGGTCGCTATGAGTCGAATCGACTCGACAGCAGTGAGTTTGGTTTGGTAGCCTCCATTACCATGACATTTCTGCCCTAATCTAATTCCCCAAGTACAGAAGCCATGGGTGAACTGGTTAAGCACTCTGTTGCTACCTGAAAGGTGGGCTGTTCAGATGCACCAGCAACTCTGCAGAAGAAAGATGTGGCAGTCTGCTTTGGTGAAAATTAGAGCTTTACTAACCCAGTGGGGCAGTTCTACTTTGTCCTATAGGGTCACTATGAGTCAGAATTGATCCTATGGCAAAAGGTTTAGTTTTTGGTTTAGTACAGTGTGGTGCAGTGAATTGCTTAATGCGGCCCTTCTAGGTATGGCCTTTGCGACTCTCACAAGATGAGTGGATGGGCCTGTGCAAATGTGAGGTCCTTGTGGCCCACCAAGAGGATTAAATAGCTTATTAATAACGTGGATGAGGTGCATAGTACACCTTGTGGGGTGGGACCATGCAAATAATGTGTATGGAACCTTAACATAAGGATTAGTTGGTTTTGCCATCTCTCTAGGGTTAAGATGAGCCATCCCAGAAGCTAAAAGGGGAGATCTTATTATCGTCAAGAAAGAAGAGCCAGCAATTGGCATAACATACTACACAAAAACATTGTTCTATATCTTACTTGGTGAGCAGTGAGCAACTGGGGTCTTAGAAGCTTGCAAGTGGCCACCTAACATGTAATAATTGGTCTCTCCTTATCTGGAGCAAAAGAAGAAAGAACCAAAGACATATGGAAACAATTAGAACCTCAGCTTTCATGACCCTGAGACCAGAAGAACTAGATGGTGCTCATCTACCACTGTCAACCACTTGGAAAGGGATCAGTGCAAGAGATCTTGGATATAGTGGGAGAAATATATGGAACAAAACTCAAAATCATTGAAAAGACCAGGTTTTCTGGTCTGATAGAGATTAGTGAAACCCCTGAGACTATGGCCCCTAGTCACCCTTCAGGCCTGGAATTGAACTGGCTCCCATGGCTTCTAGCCTAACAATAAACAGGCATATAAAGTGAACATTTACACCAGGTAGGTATGTTCCATAAAACAACCATGGGCGACTAGAAGGGCAGTATTTGCACAGGGAGATAGCTCAGAAGACAGGAATGCATAAGAAAGAAGGACACAGGGAAAATGTAACCACAGGGAGGAGGTGGGAAGAGAGCTATTACATTATGTGGACTACAATCAATGCCATGAAATAAAATGTGTATGAAGTGTTGTACAGAAAATGAATTTGCTCTGTAAACTTTCACCCAAATCACAGATATGCATACATACTCCAAAAAACCAAACCACACTGATTGCCAGTTGGATCCGACTCATAGTGACCCCCTTTGGGTTTCCAAGGTGGTAAATCTTTACGGAAGTAGATTGCTCAGTCTTCCTTCCACAGAGTGGTGGGTGGGCTTGAACAGAAGCAGACTGCCTCATCTTTCTTTGCAGAGTGGCTACTAGTGGGTTCAAACCATCAACCTTTTGGTTAGCAGCCAAATGCCTTAACCACTACAGCACCAGGCTTTCTCTCTCTCTCTCTCTCTAGATAGATAGATAGATAGATATTTCAATAAATTCTATTTCAAATATCAAGAAAAGAAGAGCTAGGAGTGGAACACAGACTTTGGACCCAAGATCCCTGTGCTGAACCCTGTCTATCCAGGAGACAGAGACCTGTGACAACAGAGACCGTGAGAAGCAGCAGCAGTGAAACAAAGGCAGCAGAACCAAGAGCCAGAGCAGCGTACTTCCTGGCCCATAGAATAAGAAAACTGAGTGCCTTTGGGTCAAGGGTTACTGGTGGAGTGGGGTGCCTCTGGGCATTTATCAGCAGGGCTAAAAGCTTTGTAATACTTGCCCCAGCAGGGCAGAAGCCAAGCTGAGGGGCCGAGGGCCTTGCCTTCAGGCATGGCTGAGGGGAGGCTGGTTGAACAAAGAACTGTATCCTGAATGTTCCTGATCCTGAATCATGACCTATTACTTCCCTAATAAGCCTCATAATCATGAGTTTGTCTATTAGTTCTGTGTTACCACTGCAATGGATTATGGAGCCCAGTGGAGTAGAGTGTGAGTACCACCAGAGGGATGGCTGGTGTCAGAACTAGTAAAAAGTTTGGAAGGTGGCAGTATGTCTGATGTTTACCTCATAAGAATCAGCCCTGAAGTACTGATGTTGATCTTGTTCCTCTTGCCCTTTTGTGAAGAGGAGGTCAGACACCTCTGCCATGTCCTTTTTATTTACAGTCCCCCACTAAGCTCTAGAATTTTAGATAAATTCAGTGTTTTCCAGTAACATCCTCTATCATTTCCCAGTTCCAGCTTTCATAATCACTTCTCTCTCTCTCTCTCTCTCTCTCTCTCTCAAACACACACACACACAAACACACACACACACAACCAACCTTACTGCCTTCGAGTCGATTTAGACTTATAGAGACCCCTCCTTGGGTTTCCCCGGCAGTGCCTCTACAGAAGTAGATTGCCCAGTCTTCCTTCCAAGGAGTGGCTGGTATGTTTGAACCACTAGCCTTCTTGTTAGCAGTCAAATGCCTTAGACATTACGCCAGCAAAGTTCCCCTTCACTTATCACAACTGTGCCTTAATATCTTGCCCTCTACACTTTCAGTGCCACAATATGACATCAATGGCCACCCAATATCAGCTAATGTTCAAAATCCCTCAAAAATCAGTAGCATTATTCTCCAAAATAAAATCTCCAAGGTACCACAATATCTCTCTCTCACTGTTTTTCCAGCTTTTAATTTTGAATAGATCTACTATTCCTTAATATTGACTACCCACTGAATCCCAATATATAATCTGATGTTCGCTAAACATTTGGTCCCATTGTCTCCAATTCACACAATCTTATTATCTTCTATTATACAGTCCTTCAGTGACTTCTCAGGATAGGGGAGGGTCCCCCAATATCCTTCCCTCAGCTAACTCCCTCATAGAAGACTCCTTCTTCTATTCCCAAAGCCAAATTTCCTTGCTCCTCAAATTTGATACATTGTTATGCAACTCATGACCCTTCCTGTACTATCAAATCTGGGCCTGCATTTTCTACCCCAAATTCCAATATCTTATTCCCACAACTATGCCATTATTAGACCCTGTTGCCTCTATGATCCTATCATTGGGTCAATATTCCCCTGAAAATCCCCTTATTTCAGGATTCATTTTGTTGTTCCCTAAATACTTGGATTCTTACTGTCTCCACAACATTGTGCCCATCTTCCCTAACTTTCACCCCATGAACGCCATCCTTATTAGTAGGCTCACCCCATATCCAAAATCCAGCCACCTTTCCCCATATCCCCGTATGCTCCCCTATCAGCCTGTTACTTTTTCCTATACCTGCCACCTACCGTCCTTGAAATTCCTAGTTCCATTGAGCTCTAATGTTTGGCCCCAATTTTCAAACCAATATTAA